GGGGGGGGGGGGGGGGGGGGGGGGGGGCCTTGCTGCGCGCGTTCGTGACAGACTGGCCCACACTTCTGTCCTAGATATTGCAAAGGGGCCAACATGCATCGTGCTCAGCCTCAGCCCCGCACATGAAATGCACGCCCCGCCCGCCCCCGATTCTGTAATCCTGGCGTTGCAACTCTGCCAAGCAGACGGTAAATGCAAAAGCATAACAAAAAAGGGGGCCTAGCATCTGATTGAGAATGTGACCCACGAAACGCGAAGCCGAGGCGTGGCGTGGCGTGCGAGGTGCAGGGAGCGGTGAAGAGGGAAAAGGTGGATGGAGGGCAATCCACGAGGCGCGTGTGGGTCTAGCGGAAGAGGTGACGAAAGGAGACTTGTCCGTCTCGCCACGAGCTGCTTCTAGCAAGTCAAGGGTAGGGGGGGGGGGCTTAATAGTACATGATAAAGTCGAGCAAAAGAGGTTCCGAAGCGATCATTCTGACTGTGCCGAAATAATCAGCCGCTGCACATGGTGCAAGCTGGAAGGGGGAGAGAGCAGGGATCAGAAGAGTGAGCTTCCAAAGAGTCGTGAAGGAATAGCCAACATCCGCACACAAACTCACCACCAGGATTCTCGAGACTGCAAAGCAGCGCAGCAGCTTCGCGTTCTCTTTCCGCAGCTCTAGCCTTGGCAGCTTCAAAGCCTTCGTCTGCAGGCGCGCTAGTAGAAATCTCTGTCGATTTGCTGCTCGTTGCAGATTCCGTCGAGATGTCGGCTGCTCGTGCGGCATCCACGGGCAAGACAATGGGACTGGGTGCAGCGGAAGAAGCAGTGCTGGAAGACGCAGCGATGCTGGAGGGTGTGGGTGGTACGGAAGAGACGTCGACTGGCGACGGTCGAGGAGCGAGGCTCTTGGCAGCGACGGCAGCTGCGGACGTCTTGCCGATGGGTGCGGCCGAGGCGATGGGCAGCGCAGCAGCAGCAGCAGCAGCAGCAGGCGCCTTGCCCTTGGAGCCGGCCTTGTTGGCAGCCTTGGCTGCAGCTTGCTCCTCGGCAGAGACGGTGAACTGAATGGCGTTGGCGGCAGGCCTGGTGCGCAGATAGTACGTGCCCGTCTTGAGTCCCTTCTTCCAGCCGTAAAAGTGCATCGAGGTGAGCTGTCCAAACGTCGGCGATTGCAGATGAATGTTCAAGCTTTGACTTTGGCAGATGAATGCTCCACGATCGGCAGCCATCTCGATGATCGACTTTTGCGAAATCTCCCACACCGTCTTGTAGAGCGCCTTGATCCTGTCGGGTATGCCGGGAACGTTTTGGATGGAGCCGCCATGGGCAATGATGCGGTTTTTCATGCCCTCATTCCACAGACCCTGCTCGACCAGCTCGCGCAGCAACCACGGGTTGACAACTTGGAACTCTCCGGCCAGCACACGACGCGTGTAGATGTTGGATGTGTAGGGCTCAAAGCATTCGTTGAAGCCGAGAATCTGAGAGGTGGAGGCGGTAGGCATGGGTGCGAGCAGCAGCGAGTTGCGAAGACCGTGCTCGGAAATCTTGCTCTTCAGCGTGGTCCAATCCCACAAGTCAGAAGGTGTGACGCCCCACATGTCGTACTGCAGCTCTCCCTTGGAGGCGGGCGAGCCTTGGTAGGTCTGGTAGGGACCGTCGCGTTGGGCAAGCTCGCAAGAGCGCTCCAGTGCGGCGTGGTAGATGGTCTCGAAAATTTGCTTGTTGAGCTTGCGCGCTTCGGGCGAGTCAAAGGCCATGCCGAGGATCATGAAAGCATCGGCCAGACCTTGCACTCCGATGCCGATGGGACGGTGACGGAAGTTGGAACGACGCGCCTCCTCGACGGGATAGTAGTTGACGTCGATGATGCGGTTCAGGTTGCCACAGATGACCTTTGCGACGGCGTGAAGTTTCTTAAAGTTGTACGACTTGGTCGAAGTGTCGATGAACGATGGCAGGGCGATGGATGCCAAGTTGCAGACGGCAACCTCGTCTGGCGCAGAGTACTCGATGATCTCGGTGCACAGGTTACTGCTCTTGATGGTGCCCAGGTTCTTCTGGTTGCTCTTGCGGTTCGCCGCATCCTTGTACAGCATAAAGGGGTTGCCAGTCTCGATTTGCGCTTCCAAGATGGCGTACCACAGCTTTTGCGCCTTGATGGTGCGCTTGGCGCGACCCTCCGCTTCGTACTTTTCGTACAGCGCTTCAAACTCCTCGCCATAGACTTCGGCCATGCCAGGGCACTCGTTGGGGCACATCAAGCTCCACTCGCCGTTCTGTTCGACACGCTTCATGAAGAGGTCTGGGATCCACAGCGCGTAGAACAGCTCGCGTGCTCGCACTTCCTCCTTTCCGTGATTCTTGCGCAGGTCCAGGAACTCGAAAATGTCAGAGTGCCAGGGCTCGGCGTAGATGGCAAAGGCGCCAGGCCTCTTGTTGCCACCTTGGTCAACGTAGCGTGCAGTGTTGTTGAAGACTCGCAGCATGGGGACGATGCCGTTGCTAAAGCCATTGGTGCCTGCAATGTAGCTTCCGGTGCCGCGAATGTTGTGGATGCTCAGGCCTATACCACCGGCAGTCTTGCTAATCATGGCGCACGTCTTGAGAGTGTCGTAGATGCCGTCGATGCTGTCATCCTTCATGCAGACGAGGAAGCACGACGAGAGTTGAGGGTGAGGCGTGCCGGCGTTGAAGAGGGTCGGGGAGGCGTGGGTAAAGTACTTTTCGGACATGAGGTTGTACGTCTCAATCACGGAATCGACGTCATCGCCGTGGATGCCAACGGCGACGCGCATAATCATGTGCTGAGGACGTTCGGCGACGCGTCCATTGATGCGAAGCAGGTATGATCGCTCCAGCGTCTTGAAGCCAAAGTAGTTCTATAGCGTCGAATGGAGCGAGGGGTCAGCAGCGCACGACGAGCAGCAGCAGCAGCAGCAAGAAGACTTACGTAGTGGAAATCGCGCTCGTAGATGATGGCAGAGTCGAGCTGCTCCTTGTTCTTCATGATGGACTGGTACGTCGCATCGCTGATCATCGGGCTGTGTCGGCCGTTCTTTGGGTTGACTGCGGTGCCGGAGGGGGTGGGGGACAAGCTCAGCCGGTGGACGACGCTAGCGCATACACGCCGCACACGCCTCATATTGCCAAGGGCAGACGACACTCACCATAATCGTACAGGTCCTGCACCACCTTTGAAAACGTCTTGCTGGTCTCCTTGTGCAAATTGGAAATGGCGATGCGCGCCGCGAGGACGGCGTAGTCTGGATGGGTGGTGGTCTTGTACGCTGCAGTCTCTGCGGCCAAGTTGTCCAGCTCGACGGTGGTGACGCCAGAGTAGATGCCATCGATGACCTAGATGGGAGTGATGCGAGCCAGTCGCGGTGAGAAGGAGAATGTAATGTCAGTGCGCGCTTGCCTTGGCGGTCTCGCGGGTGCTGTTCACTCGTCGAGGTGGTTGGATGACGCGACGCGTTGCGACGCGTGCCATCCTCTCAAGGCGACGAGCACAACGATGGCCCAACTCACCTTTCGTGTGATCTCGATGGGGTCGACGAAGGCCATGTCGAGTCCGTAGCATAGTTTGCTGACGCGAGCCGTCACCTTGTCAAACTTGACGCTCTCCTTGCGACCATCTGCAAGGGCGAAGAGGTGGGGACGGGGACGGGGACAGGGACAGTGCCGTCGATCAGCCATCGTCACTGGCACAGACTGTGGACCACATGTGCTCATCACTCACCGCGCTTGTACACGTAGCTGAAGCCGCCCGACATGGTGGGCTGTTGCGACGTGGTATGGTGTGGTTGCGAGCAGGAAGCGCGGGGGAGTGGAAGGGGGAGTGAGTAAGGAGAAGGAGTGGCAAGAAGTGATGCGAGAGTGTATTGGTGGAGATGACAGCTTGGCAGGCTGCGACAGGATGCGATGGCGATGGCGACGGCAATGACAATGGCGATGCCGATGGATGAGGTTGGGAAGTATCGAGCAGCGAGAAGCACCGATGCGTTTTATGAAGCATTCAGTGATTGCGCGCCATGCCATGCCATGCCATGCAGCAGCAGCAGCAGCAGCAGCAGCAGCAGCAGCAGCAGGGCTCAGCAAAACGCGCCTCGATTACCCTTTGTGTTGCTCTGCTGACACCGCGGGCGACGAGATTAAAAAAAACGCGACGCGCTTCACGGTGTGCGCGCGCCCGCGCATGCAGTCACGCGCTCAAACGCGTCCCTCACCCCGCGCGCGCTCGGCCGTAAGTGCTGTCGCGTCGAGACGCGTTCATCGAAGAATGCGGATTCAGAGTCAGAAGTTGCGAGTTGCGACTTTGCGACTTGCGATCGACGATCGACGATCCAGCTTGGCTTCACAGCACAGATCAAACACTCACACGCGCGAGAGGGTACATGTCAATGTCAGATGCGTGCCTGGGCTCATGCACGATGATCAAGCTGCGCGCGTCCTAGCTGTGCCATGCGTCGTACCGTGACGCCGACGTGCTGCGCATGCGAGCACAATCCCAGTCCCTCTTTCTCAGGGTTCAGTGTTGGTCTGCGACGCTTTCTTGCAATCGTGCATCTACAGAATCTGCTTTGGGATCATCGGATGGGGCTACGCGTAGGCATTCCAGCTCTCGCTCATCCCCAGCAGATAGAAAGGGTCTGATCTTGCGGATCATAAACGCGACGCGAAGGTGAGGGCGCGTCGCGTCGCGTTG